CTTATTAATAGTACTACTAGTAATAAGCTACTACTACTTTTATTACTGGTGAAGTAGCTGTATAAAGTACCTTGTTTCAGCCCTGTTTGCTATAGCACTATCTAGCCAGCGACTTTTACATGACTAATATCAAATAACTTGCCATTCAGTTGTATTTGCCAGAGTCTCCTCATACCTCTATCTATTGATTGAGTATTTAGGGCGAACACACCCTGGTGTGCAACACAATACCAGATACACAGTGTGGGTGTGCTCATTGATTGTCTCTGCCTGCAGGATTTGGTGATCACATCCACTGGAGGACGCTGGAAGATGCCAAGAAAGAAGCTGAAGCCAGGTGAGCTAAAATATTACAAACACTTCCTGAAATGCTGCCAAAGAGCCTTTTGTGCAAAGATTAGCCTGAGGCAGCTGTTAAAACCCCCCACGCATATATCTATTTTTGTCCTGGTTAGAGGAGCAGATTGACAAGTTGTCAACGAGCGGGTGTAGTTTTTCATGTGTGGCAATTTCAGGCTTTAAAAACATGGAGCAGTGTGAGAAGTTTTCAGTTTGGAACAGCATGAGTTTAATTTTGGTTTTGATGCACTTTTAAATGTGTTTAAATTAACAGCGGGCTGCCGATCATGGTCATCATCCACAAGAGCTGGTGTGGAGCCTGCAAAGGTAAAATAATGTTCCACCGAAAAGTCTCTTCTATAACGTAAAAATACGCCACATTAGGTGTAATTAAAATCATGGTGAACGTTTTTGAATTTAGTTGATTGACATTACTTTGAAGAGAGAATCAAAGCCAGACATGTTGCATATTTCCTGCTTAAAGATTATTTTATTTTTTTACAGAAAACATTTAAACATAAAAGGGTTAAAATTTAGACAAGTTGTCTGAGTCATAAAGACATCAAATACTGTACACGTGAAGCTTTTATGATCAGTAAATTTATGTACACGTAATAATAGTAGGCTCACTGTGTTGAACAACCAGGACAAGGTGTTGAAATTACGCTTACACCTCTTAAGATTTCACATTTTTTTGTAAGTGACTGGTTCACTAAGTGTTAAAATGTGGACATTTGAGAATATAGTATGTTAAACTTTAGATGTGTGACTCATGAACAAAAATGAACATGTTGTGTTGTCTGCAAGAACAGGCTGTTGTATGGATACTTTAAAACGCCCCTAAAGCGCTGCTTTTTTAGTGCAGGACATGTTACCAGTGGTTTAGCAGCCTGCCAGAAAGCTCCTGAAAACCTGTAAGGTAGCAATGCAGAGATGCTTAAACACCTGAAGCTGTACAGATGCTGCTGGGCCTTTTTAAAACAGCAGTGATGTTAGTTGTTTATGTCAGGTGTTTGTGTATGTGGACTCCCAGGTATTTAAATCTGTGCATCCGCTCAAACCCTGGGGTCTGTTTATGATGAACAGCCAATCAGAAGAAAGTCGCCTTAAAGGTAGATGAGCTAAACCAGCTTCTTTCAGACAGAAGATGAACTAAGGAGCTAAACAAGGATGATTCTGAGTCATGCAAGGCCCCTCTTGTAAAGTCCAAGAATGACAAAAGTTGGAGATGAAATCGATCTACAATGTCTGAAATTGAGTTTTATATTTGTTTAATTAACTTAGGATATTGCTTAACAATTTCAATGTCACAGAAAATATATTCATGGAAAAATATTTCTGTTGAAAGCAGAATCAACTGTTTTTATCAGCTTTTTAAAATGATCCAAATCGTAGCTACAGTGTTGTTGTTAATCAGGAAGCCCGTCTTTGGATCTCAGCCAGATGTGTAATGTGGAAAATTGGGACAAACAAAGCAATCAGGAAATGACAAAAACCGGAAGGGTTGTTGGAAAAAGTGACTATTTTCAGTAACAAGTGAAATGTAACATGAGAATTCAGCAGATCTGAAAATTTGAGTTTTTTTTTTTTTTACTTAACGGAATGTCTTAATTCTAAAACTAAAGAACAACAGAGGCTTTTAATTATTTAAGCTTCTTCATTGTAAATATAAAAGCTCTGGTTGGTTTGCATTTGATTGTGGTGTAAAATAACCTCCTTATTATGTTGTTGTTTTTATAATCAGCACTGAAGCCCAAGTTTGCTGAATCCAAGGAGATCTCTGAACTGGCACACAACTTTGTAATGGTGAACCTGGAGGTGAGGATATATTGAAAGCACCTTAAAGCAGCTGCTTCTTATATTTTCTGTTTATTTCAGTGTATTGATGTAAAACTATCAAGTTTTTGTTCCCTTTTATTTCTTGTTTTATCGTCATGCTACAAGTCAGAATTGACACATTGGCTGTTTTTGGATTTGTTTCCACTAATCTCTCA